ACCCCACCACACACACACACACACACACACAATTGGTTTATTTTGACTCCAGTGATTTTTTTTGTTTGTTTTTTTATCACCGAAACAAAGTGTCCAAATGGTTTGAATGACTTTGACATTAAAAAAAAAATCTTTTTTTCCCCAGCCGAAACAATTTGCCAAATGCTCTATTTGCCATCCACTAACTAAAAACAAAACCAAAGACATTAACACCTTGTTTCCTTGTCTATACCAGGGAAGTTTATCAACAAATTTCCCCTATTGCTAGAATCAGTTTAGCTCCACTTGGGGCATCTTATTCTAGACAGCCTGCCAGCTGCCATGGCATGTAGGTGACAGTGAATAGTGGTGCTAGTAACTAATAACTCATCTACACTAGAGCCAGCATTAGCAGCAACAGGCCATTTTCGGCAATATTCCTCTAGGGCAGATGTGATTTCTGTGTCTTTTCTTCCTTCCCAAGTGTGAGGTCTGCGGAACCGTCTGTGTTAGTGTGTTGTACAGACATTTACCTGTTAAAATCCAACAGTGGGTAAGTTGTGTGTGTGTGTACGAGAGAGGGAAAGAACAAATATATACATTATATAGCTAGTTTGCTTACACAGAGAAAACAGAAAGGAAACAAAGACGGCACAGATTAAAGAAAAGCACAACCAGCATAAACCAAAACAGAAAACTAACCTGTTTTCCTTATGGCCAGTTAATGTAACCTTATCACGTCATATGTATTACAACTGAACCACCAAAAAAACCTACATTCTCCACTCCCAAACATTCTGAAGCACTCTAAATATAGTATGTCCCACAAATCCCTAAGAATATTCCAAAATGCACGTTTGATTACTTTTTGCTGTTCCCCTACCATGTCACACTGTCTTTTTCCCCTTCCCCAAACATAAAAGTAGCATTCAAACAGAAAATCCAAAAACATCAGGAAACATGGCAGTCACAATTTCAGCTTTTGTTGCTTTTTCACCCAGAGCGCCAGATCTACTTCTACTGCTCTATTAACATTCCATCAGAATTAATGGGCTATTAAGGTATCCCTGGAATATTCAGCAGCACAGCAGGTCTGTTTTACCTGTACAGTACATGGTACATTTTGCAACATTTAATCACTTATATTACTATGCTGAAGATTCACACTGGGGGAAATATTCAAAGAGCCTCCTATCTCTGTGTGTTCAAATCTTTCATTTGCATATGCAAGTTTGATACTTAGATGGGTGGTTACCTGGTTTGTATTATACAATTTGTCCTTTCCCTCAAAGCAATGTAAGATTTGAATATGTAAATATGTCTTTTGCTCATCCTTTTCTCCTGTCCATGAAAGTGCACAGTTCTCATTGACATCCCTGGGAATTTGAGGCTAGATCGAGTAAGCACTCTGTTCTTAAGCTGCTCATTAAAATCTATGGGAGTTCTGTATTTAGAACATTTACAGAATCCGACCTTTCATGCATTTATGGGATCTATTCCATTTCCATTTAAATGAATGATAAAGTTTCTGATGGCTTCAGAGAGAGCAGGATGATGAAGAGATCCCATAAATAGCAAGTAAGTACTGTGAGTTCTCTGATATTATTAAAGTATTTTTATATAAAAGCATCAAATCGAGAATAATCTATTTTGATCCACAAGGAATATTCCCTAATGTCCGAATCCTGCAAACACATAGGAATGTACTTAACTTTACACATGAGATGTTCCATTGGAGGGATTACTCAGATGTACAAGTTACACATTTGAAAGTGTTTGCAGGATCAGTTCTCCAAGAAATGCAATTTAATTCACACCAACCTAACTTTTATTTAGAAATCACACTGATGTGGGCCCCAAACTCATACATTTGGTTCGAGATATATTCTGTTAGTTAAGAGTATCGTCTTTCTCACATTTCTGAGGACAGAGCCACTCTGTCATTCATGCATAGTGTAAAACATATGACATGAACAGCTCGGTGTGGGGGCAGATCCTCAGCTGGTGTAAATCAGCATTAGCTACAAAGATGTTACTAGAGCTATGCTGATTTGTACCAGCTGAAGGTCTGGCCCTTTACTTTTCAATCAGTTTTACAGACCATACATCTGAAGCCAATAGTCAATGGGATTATTTTCTCATGGCTACTTCCTTGCAAACAATGTTCTTTTTATTGATATATTTACCGTTTTATTGCTTCTTCTTGTTTGCGGCGTTTTTCATTCTTTTCTTTCAAGTAAGCCAGGTTTGTTTCATTCCTCATGCGATCATTCTCTCGAGCAATGTCTGATGCATTCTGTATAACCAAGCCATCATAGGCCTTCATCCCCATGTCTTCAATATACTGGAGAAAAGTGCCCAACGTGACCTCCTCCTGATTAGAATTCATCATTTTGCAGGAGATAATGGACGAAGGAAAGCAACACTTCCTGCAGGTTGAAAGACACATGATACCTTAATCAGTGAGCAAAAAGCTTGCAGTTTATTACAGATAATATGTTGTCAGTAGCAATTTGCAGTGCTTGGCAGGAAATATTTTTGAGGCCAGCCTCCTACTTAAATTTATAGCAAACAAGGCAAAACAAAACAACCCCCTTTTCATGTAAGTTGCCCAGAACCACTAGGTTATGGACATTGTAAGCTTGTGTTATCATGTGATCTTAATACTGTTTCTCGGCTCTCCTTTCCCTCCTCCCCTTCCAATTGTTTATTACATTCACTAAATTGCATCTTGTCCTTGAGTTGATTGTAAACTCTTCAAGGCAAGGACCCTGGGTCCCTTTGTGTTTGTACAGTGCTCAGCACAGTGGAGTCAGGATCCTACCTCAGGTCCTAGGTTCATATTATTTACTAATGTTTTTAAATCACACTTTGAAGTGCCATTTATAAAGAGTTAATAAATGATTGTAACATATTAATAATAAGTCGTATGCATTATATATTGCTATAAACATTGGGGTTATACATGGTTGTAAGCCATAGTTTCAAGCAATTTATTGGACTCTATAACAATTGGTAATTTATTAATATATATTAACCATTTGTCAATCCTTTATAAATAGATTCTTCATATAAAGTGTGAATATTTTTTCTGTCTTAGGTTCTTATATGGTCTCCATCACCTCACAGTCTTTTAATGTAGCTATCCTCACAACGCCCCTATGAAAGAAGTACTATTATCCCCATTTCACAGAGGGAGATTTGAGGCACAGAGAGACTAAAGTAACTTGTCCAAACTCATGCAGGGTCTGGGTAGAATGAGGAGGAAGGATGGTATCATTTCTCGGACAAGTACTGAGTCTATGTAACCATAATACAGCATAAGAACAATGCCAGGACAGTGAGAATACCTTAACTGATTTTACTGAGCAGGCAATGGGAGTTCTGTCTGCATGTGGACTGTAGCGTAGGAGCAACTGTTGAACTAGCATCAAAATATTTTCTCTCTTTGTTATATAGTGGTATGTTTCCAGGCCCATTTCAGCATTCTTTCATGCTGCTGGATAAGTAAAATTCTGATGTGGACAGTTATTAGTTTTAAACACAAAATTAAAATCTCTAATAGATTCCAATAATCACTGTGCACCTGTGGGCACAGCCCACACCCTGAGACCACAGTGCTTTTAAATTCACAAAGGAAACTGAACTGGGAAAGGCAGAGGTCCTCCCCTCCCCACCGACCAAAAAAAAATCTTCTTTTTTGTTTACTAATTTTATCTGTTACTGGTAGCAAAAGTAAGTCTGGTTTCAGATGGAAATATTTTTGGTGTCCCATTAAATACAGACAATTTCATTGCCTTTACTTCCCCTTTTTTTTACAAAACAAAAAATATAAATGTAAAAATGACTTTAGAGTAACATTAAAGTTGAGCAGTTAAAATCTTAAAAGTCAGAAAGGACTAAGGCCCCAATCATGCAACCTATTCCCTCCAGGCAAGCCCTCTGCACCCATGCAGAAGTCCCCCTTTTAAATCCACTGGGGCTCTGTGTGGGCACAGGAGTCTCTCTGCATAGAACAATATGCAGGATCAGCACCTATCTTAAGGATCTCAGAGCAGAGTCAACCTGGCAGCCTTGTTCTTTGTGTAATTTCACTGGCATTTCAACAGAAGTGAATTTGGACCAACATGGCTACCTCTATAATAGTTATGGAACTATAGGGCCTGAGATGGCAGCCCTTACTTGGACAAACCTCCTTTTGCCTTCAATTTAAATTCTGCCTGATAATGGAACACAGGACTAGATTCAGAATCATTCTGTCTCCAGAGTTTGTTTTCTTTTAACTAGAGATTTAGAATCTAGTCCCTTCCCTTATTTTAAGGTCATTTACATTTAGACTTAAACACTTTCTGGGTATGTCTACACGGCATTTTGGAACAAGTGGGAGCGAGCCTCCCAGCCTGGGTCAACAGACTTGGGGTAACAGAGCTCATGCTAGTGCTCCAACTATAGCTGTATAGAGAGTGCTTTGAAGCTGCGGTTCAAGTTCTGAAGCCTAGGAAGGGGGATGGACTACAGAGCTCAAACTCCAGCCCAGACTGCAACTTCGAAGTGCTGTCTATACAGCTATTCTTAGAGCTCTAATACAAGTCCCCCTAGCCTGAGTCTGTTGACCTGGGCTGGAAGGCTTGTTCCCATTCATCCAAAATGCTGCATACATGTACCCTTTCAGTGTACATAAAACAGTAACACATGTGGTAGTGACAGAGTTCCTTTAAGGTAAGGTACATTCAACCATGAAATCCTGGCTCCATTAAGTTAAAGGAAATTTTGCCATTGGTGTCACTGGGGACAGAATTTCACCCTTGAAGAGTATATTTACTGTATGTTGATGAGGCTTTGGGGCCTGATCCAAAGTTCATTGGTCAATAGAAAGACTCCCAATGACTTCAATGGACTTTGGATCAGGTCCTAAAGAATTATTAAATGGAGAATTATTCTGATCTTTTTCACTGAGGCATACAGAACTTTGTTTGTTTATTACATGTCCTCCACATGACTTGGTTACTGCATTTTATTCTGCGTTCTCTTTTTCTGAGGCCTAAAATATACAGGCATTTAACAATATGAAAGAGCTGCTTAGCTAAGGCTCATGTTACAAAGAATTTTATTTTTATTGAAGTATATTAATCCCTAGGTCAAAGCAATATGGAGAAGACAAACACACATGTGCTCAATAGAGATGAGTCTCTGTTTTGCTGTATGCACTGGCCAGATATTTTATTATATTGTGTTATTGTATTAGTTGCTATTTATTACTGACCATGTAGCTAGCACTGTACATTTCTTTGGGGTTTTAGAAACATAGAGTAAGACACATTCCCTGACACAAATAGTTTACAATTTAAGGATGCACTTTTGCAAACACTACTGATCACAGTTCTAACTACTGTCATAGCCCCATTGAAGCCATTCCTGCAATCACTTTATACCAAGCATATCACTGTCTGCTTAGTCCCATAGGATTCAGTGTGTTGTATTGACATCAGTGGCACTACATATTAAAATAAGTAGTGAGATCAGTAGCAAATGTTTGCTGGATCAGATCCTAAATATCTGATATAATTTTTGAATTTTGCAATCTCATGGCATTTGCCAGTATTTGAAACTTGTATCTGCCATGCTTAAATAGGGCATAAACTTCAAACAGCTGGGACTAGTCAAAGCTTAGAGTACTTATTACTGTAAACATTGTTACTTTATTAATCTATCCTGTGTAATACGACAGACTGATTTTTGTTAATACACAATGGTGTTGCTTCAGACATTTTATTACTTGAATATCCAGACTGGTGAGAATGTGTAACCAATACATGTGGCCCTTTGAGTCATAATATGCATTATCTGACACTCTCTCTTGGTAATGTAGGTTATGAACAACACTGATCAACTGCTGACCAAAGGTTTTAATTTCTGGTAAACTCAGACAACAAACCATTTCCAGTCATTTATCATAGGAGATAAAAGTCAAGCAAGTATTCTGTTTGAGTACATTTACATTTGATTACACATCTGTAAGTCACTAAATATGTAATGTAAGCCTGAGGTGAGGCAACATTTTGTCACCCCTGTTGTGCATATAGTGCTCCTGGAGTTTTAATTAGCTGGTGATGAGAGGAAGAGAATCATAGGGCCACTTGCATCTTGCATAATCAACTTGTTTTCAGTTTGTTTGATTTTTGAAACTGGAAAATACTGGCTAATTGTTACATGGAGGTTGCTTAATTTGAAAAATTCTCTTGTCCCACTTTCCACCCCTCTCTGAGTGGATATATATACACGGGGAGGGGCTGTTTCAAAAACACCTAATGTCAGCCTAATTCTGCTCCCAGTGAAGTCAATGGTATGGAATAGTAATGATAAGTCAATGCCACTGATTTCATTGAGCACTTTTGACAATCGATCCTACAGTGAGGATATAGCTAAAAAGGTATCCAAGGCATACACTTCATTTAAAAAAAAATTACATGAAAGGTACATGTGTCAATTACATGAGTAATCTCATCCTGAGAAAAGCTAGGGCGCTTATTGTTCTCTGTTCACTATGTGTCTAGGTGGTTTTAGAAAACACCTCAGTCCATATGTTTGTCTTCATTTTCTCAACTACTCTATGGATGCTTTTATGACTACAATAAATCTGGGCATTTTCTCAAGTGTAACTGTATATGCTGGATGACTTGGCAAGCCTATAAAGACTGGACCTATATTTATCCCCATAAATGTGCTATGCTACTGTGAATACCATTATATTTATTAATGTATACAATAGAATGCAAAAATGTTATATATTGATGTTCCATAATATCAATGAGTAAGCATTCTGGGAAGGGTCTTGGAAGTCAATCGCTGTACATTAGCAGGACAGTTTTTTGCAGGTCAGGCAGGACAATCCCTTCTTCAAAAAACATCAAGTTCTGAAAGTCTCATCACCTTCTCCTCTCAGCCAAGTCAAAGTTGAGAGACATTATCAGGGCAACATGGAGCAACTTACAGTGCCACTGCCCATGCAATCAGCTGACCACATGAAAGAAATTAAACTAAATTTTTGCCAACTTTTCTAGAAATGCATACAGTTTACTGGCAAGGGCAAGCAGTTCCCTGACTGATTTTTGCCTATTAACAGGACTGACTATAAGACACTTGTAATACTTCAGATGTGATTTCTGAAAATGTGGGTAAATAATGCATGGTGTTTCACAAAGGTGCTATGACATACTCTAGTATATCTTTTTACATTTGAAATATAATTTTCTATTTGATCTGATGCATAATGTACAGAATCCTAGTATTAAAAAACTAACACCCATCCAGAAAATGCACAGTCCATGTGCAAGGAGTGCTAAAGTCAGACTACTAAGTGCAGTGATTGCATGTAATATCATGCTGTTGCTATGTTGTAAAATTCAGAGAAGTGGCTCCACCTTTATTCATGGTTAGGCCACCCCAAGAATCTTCACAGTTGCTTTTCCTCCTGCTTGATAGCCTCAAAATGCAGCTGTGCTACATTAAAAACCGGCAATGTTGACATTAAACTGAAGGAGCTTGTTCAAATAGTGACAAAGGCACTGATTGCGTTCTTCTCAAATCAATGGGAGGCATTTTGTTTTTTAAACATAGGAGGATTAAGGCTGACACAACTCAACAGTGGTGTAGTACATGTCATGAATCCAACCCTGGATTCATGGGGGATATGTATTCCACTTCATTCCTGCTTTCCTCCCTGCATACTCACACTCCTCAATTTTAAACCCCATTCACTTTAGCGTTACTTGTTGGCTATCTCAGCAAAACTCAATATTTCAAAAGCATTTTGCACAGATCAAGAATGCTAAATTGCCATCCTGCCCTTTGAGTTTGTGCTGCAGTGTTCCAGTTGCTTGCAAGGCAATAAGTGCAAAGTAGACAGACCACATCCGACTTTCACAAACTAATGACTACAGCCCCACTAATAAGGGCCTCGTGGTACTGGGGAGTTGACAGTATACTTTTCCCTCTCCAAAAGAAGCGACTGCAAATACGTCAGCAAATGGAATGAGATGCTGCCTTCCATGAAATCGCTTCTATACCTCTCATAATATTTCTACCCCTTTGCCAGGCAAGCTTCCATATGTTAAATATTTGATTTGATTAATTGTTAAAAGGAGAAGCATGAACAAGCAGTGCATCAATAAAAGGCAAATAACGAGCAGGCATGTTGTTTGTCTAAGTAGTACTACACTAGATTCTAATGTCAAACAGAGAGCAAAGTCTCTATGAATTAGGCACTCAAGCTTTCCTAAGTCATATCATGTAGTTTGGTCTTTTTTTTTTTATTAAATAGAGGCTAATTGAATCTTAAATGCAAATAATTTTTTACAAGTTATCTTTGCTAAGATTACATAGTATCCATCTTACACTCATATTGTGCAGTGTAATGAGCACCAGCACCTGAGTGAAAGCCACAGAAGCTAAGTGATGCTAAAACCTTCACTTAAAGAGGTTAAAATTGGCTCTTTGGGAAGAATAAAAAAAACTGCTATGTATATTTAAGAAAATAGCCTGTGGCTATAAACTTTCACCTTTCAAGTGTAAAGGTAATTCAATCAAGAGTTTAAATAACTAAAAAAATACTCCCCAAACCTTGGAATTTGGGTCACTTCATGCTGCATTTTGGGCAGCAGAAAGATCATTGCCTACAATGTCTCCTGTCTGCTTTAGAATTTAGAGAGCTGTTGTTGTTTACTTTGCAATAAGACACTTTGATCAAGGTGCCTTTTCAAAAAGCTTGAATATGTTTCATCCGAATTACATGATGTCTTAAAATGTAACAAATCTGCATTCCTAACGGCAAGCACTTAATGTAATTATGAGATTTAGATTATCCAGATACTACTGGGGAGAATTAGAAAAACATTATGGGCAAACAGAGATGTGTATTTGAACTCAGAAGAAAGAAAGAAAGAAAGAAAGAAAGAAAGAAAGAAAGAAAGAAAGAAAGAAAGAAAGAAAGAAAGAATCAGCTTCTTGTGTACGTGATTTTTTCCCCTCCCTTAAGAAAATGAAATGGAGATTTTACTACTAAGAGTAATGTATTCAGATGTTGTAAAATATTAATAATGTGGCATGTCTGATAAGTAACTAACACAGATGTTATGAATCATATCAATTAATACATCAGAATAGAGCAAAGAATGTTTTTAATAATTTAGCACGGCTTTTTACAAATGAAAAATCCAGCTCCAAATGTTCCTATTATAAACACAGCTAATGTGTGTAGGTACATAAAATAGTCTGAGATACATTTACAGCATTGTTTAGTTAAGAAATAGCTTAATTAATCTGCCAAAAACAGATAAGCAAACTTTGGCATTAGACATCCCTGACTACAAATTATTCCAGTTTTGTAAGTATATTTTTTTCTTATCCTTCTCTAATTAGCACTGTATTCTATTAACATGCTCAGAGAATTTTTAAAAACATGTACATACCAAAATTTAAGTCCACGGGGACTGCTAAGTGCAATAATCAAAGGTGACTTTTGTCTGTAAAAGCCCTTTCCTGTGGTTATCTCAGTGCAGTCTGAAGGAATATTTCAGCACCATAAGAAACAGATTTGCAATTAGGCTCAGTTTTTCTTCAGTTAAAGTGCATTAAATCTTGTTGGCAAAGATGCCCAGATTGTAGAATTCTGCATCACTAGAAGTCAGTGGGTTATGTTAAAGATCTTCTTGGTATAGGATTAAAATGGCCTTTAAAGTTTGGCGTTTAAAAATGCAGTGGCAAGAGAAGACAGGTGCTTGCTTCTTTAAATCCACATTCAGAGAACAGAGGGCATAGAAAATAGGAGGGTACAAACAGCACCCTGCTTTGCGGTCCAGCTGAGAAGAAACTGAATGATGTTTACCCACTTTACAACGTAGAAGATTACACCACCGTCATATGCAACAACACAGAGATTGCTAAGGTGCCTCATTTGAATGTATTCTGTGGAGACAAAAATAAATGAAAACAAGGAATAGAAAACATCCTATCCAAATGGCTTCTTGCAGCAGAAAAGATGCTCTCTCTCTCATTGCCACTTAGATATAGAAGGTTTGAAGCAGTCTAGCTTGTGGCATCGTCTCTCTCCCCCGTGACTTACAGGCAGGCTTGCTCTCTCCAGCTGCCTTAGTCTGTTGATGCTGCTGTTGATTAATCAGGGATTCTCAAACAAAGAGCAAGCCTACCTTCTGATATAAGCAGTAATCTGGTTCTCCTCTCTTTCTGCAATCCGCTTGTATTCAGCAGCCAAGCAGCCAGCATTCTAGTACCTTGGATAGTTCCTGCTCACTAGGCCCATTGGAAAACGGATGAGAAGAAGCAAGTGAAGAAATGACAAGAGACCGGAAAACAGCATCATTCTACTTCAGATTTCAGCTCCCAGGGGTTCAGTTGCTCATTAAAGCCTCCTATCTAGGCAACAGATTCTCTCTTATCTCCACTGTACTGTAGTCTGATTAGCAAATAATCCAGTGGGAAAAAAATCTGCATTAACAACACCGTACATCATATTTAGCCTCTGTAGGTAGTAAAGAATATGAAATACACACACCTTAAAAGAAAAAGAAAGAAAAAACTGTTCTTCCTCGGAGAATGTGTAAGTTAACCTTTAGCCCATGTTATGGCTCAAGGAAATGAGCAGCCACTTAAACGGAACATCTAGGTCTCAGTTTGATACCTCATATTGATATATCTTTTGCACTCACCCTCACTGTAAAGCAGTGCAAGGCACACAATTACTGCTGACGCAGATTAGGCTGCTGCTTGGGGAAAGATGGGAGGAGCTTTTTAACCTCATCAAAACAACCTTCCACCACCTGCTCCCATTGCATGAGAACAAAACTATCCTACTTGGACAGAATAAGCATGATCTGTATGCTGCTTGCCTTTTTTATTTTTTCCATGAGAGATGCACTCAAGAATCCAGCATGCTGCATTATCAATATCCAGAATGTAACTATGCAATTCTATAACTCCCTAAATTTGCAAACTCACTTTCTCAAGGAAGACTTTTATTTCTGTTTCTTAATTTTTCACTGTATAATTGTATTTGCTCATATTCTATTTGCTCTTCCTGGAATTAATGCAGCTCGTCTTTGTCACCCAAAGCTGCTAGATCAGACACAAAGCAAAGGCGCTCAGTCCTAAACCGTGAAGCCAGTGAAAATGGAGATGTCAAAATGTACACAAGAAGGTAACTTACACCATTGTCTAACATCAATTCCTTTCCCCTTCCCCCCACCGCCCCGGCACACTGAATCACAGTCACTTCTTTACCTTGCATGAATTTTAAATCTAATATTATACTAATGTTTGAGTGATTTTAGAAAAAATAAGAAGTGAGGCTCACTGGATAAATTCCCATCAAATTGGTGCATATACCCTGCAAAGGCAGTATTACTATGAACATGAAAACTAGCAGTAAGTAGCCCCTTAGACAGGACACACACATACCTTTCTGATAGGAATAATTTGGGCAGATTCATTATGTCAATGTTCCAGCATAGGAGTATGCTCTGTTTAGGCACTTCTTATATCCACCCAGAAGCTTTAACAGGAGCAAAACTTAACTACAAGCTTCCTGAATAGTGGAATAACTTGGTATCTGAGCTCCAGCCTGAGAAGCACATGATACTAAAAACGGTTTAAACAGTAATAATAAATAATTCAGTTACAATGTACTTTGTGAAGGTGGCTGTGCCAGAACACTCAGCCTTGGGGTGCACACCCATATCCCACTGCACCTGTTATGGCTTATGGATCTTTTAAAACTGGGAGTTACAGTTTGTAGGTCATGTGCTTGCTCCTTAGTCATGTGCCCAACAGGAAATTTTATATAATGCGGTCAGGCAAGGGAGCAGGCTGGAGGGACACTGGGGCAGAGAGGTCCTGGGAGAGGCCCTGCACATGTCAGGTGGAAGGCCTGGGAAGGACACAGCTGCAGGAAGCAAGAGCCAGCTGGAGAGGGCTGTAAGGGCCATGAGCATCTGGAGAAAGGGACTAGGACAAGAACCTGAGGGGCAGTGAGTGTTTGGGTTGCTGGGTTTTTGCTTCTAACTTCATAAAGAAACTCCCTGAGAAGAGGAACTGGGACTATGCTGTTCGGAGCATTATTTCCCCTTCCTCGGGTGGTGGATCAGCCCACAAGCTTAAAGTGGAGTTAAGATCGCTGCCAGATCATAGTTCCTTGTGTTCTGCATGTTCTTCCAGAATTGCAGGACCCCCAAACTCTGCACTAGAGAATTAGGACATGCTAACTTAAGATCCTTCCATGTATCTCTAAGAGAACCTCACTGTAAACTTATTAAAACCTGAGAAAACCAGGGACTGCACAGCCAAAGGAATGCTTACAACCCAGCATCTCAATCAACTTAAATCTGTCCCCAAAGGCAGCTCCCTCCTTGAATCAACTTCTGCCCACGTCAGAGCGTGAGCTTCAACTGGGAGAGCAGTGTTGTGATGGAGATCTTTCCCTCCATTGGAATGGAAAGGCTAGGGGAAAGGGAATACCTTCCCCAAGGCTGGAGGAAGGGCATAACTGAGGGACTGTCAGGGAGGTCCTGTGTTTATGTGTGGGTGTGGGGAATGTGGCAGTGAGAGGAGTATGCTGCCAGGGGTAGAGGGACGTCTAAATCCCTGCATCTCTGCCACTTCCATCCACAACACCTGTGACAGAGAGCTAGGAGCTTAGAGCTGACCCAGCACTCTGGTACTAACTTTCCTCCCTCTTCCCCCTCCCCCGGAGTAGACATAAGTGGGAGATGGGTGCTCCGTGGCTAAATTAGGCAAGGGGCTAACAAGCTAATGAGAGCAATCAACCTATCAGATGGGAACAGTTAAAAGTCAGAAGGAAGTGCAAGGGGGAAGCTGGCCGGGGCCAGGAGATACAGGATCTCAGGATGATGAGAGATTTCTTCTCCCTCCCTGGAGTGTTGGCTAAGGGGGAAGTTTATGTCCACTTGTATGTTGCTGCACAAGGTTGTACATTTTTGAACTGTTGGAGGGGAACTAGTAAATAACACACTGCTGCTTATAAACCTGAAAAGCATCCAGCCTGTTTGTGTTGGTCCAAAGGGTGGAGAAGGGAGCCTGTTTAGCCCCTCTCGCCCCCTTTTCAGGAAATACTCCCCCAGCTCTCGAGGATGTGGTCTGGCTTCAAGAACCAAGTCCCAGTCTGGTGAACCATCTATGGTTGGCTAGCTGGGGACTGCTGCTGGTGGAGTTGAGCATTAGCTGTCCTCCTGATAAAGCTTCTGCTCCAGCTTCCTCAATCTGAGTATAACAGGGATCGTGGAGGGGGCAGAGACAGGGGGAGCTGGTGCTGCAACTGTCAGAACCTTCTGCTAACAACTCAGCTATAGACTCCGAGCTGTAGAGGCTGCCCATGTTCCATAGAGAGGGCAGTAGCATGGAGTACAAAAAAATGAGTCACTACATATTTAATATTCCAAGTTGTGCACCTTTCTTGGTGGTATGCCCTTGTTCCCACCATGGAGAAACTAGGGATATATATTTTTTTCTCTCCTGCTCACTATTTTTAACTGAGATGTAGGCAAAAATATGTGAGAAGACTTCTGAAATGTTAACAGCTCAGTTTTAGGGTGACCGGTCTCAAGAATCCCTACTTCAAATGACACCCCCCCCACCCCCCCCCGAAAAAATTCTACCCTGGCTTCACACCTGACCTAAAATATGTCAGGCCCATCTGACTTCTTTTGTGTGTTTCTCTCACAGAGAGGTACAATAATCAGCTTTAAAAAGAAACTGAACTGCAACCTGGATCGTGCAGTGGCTAGCTGTCACTCCTTAGTGATGACAGGAACTATGGTCAAGCCTTGAGCATACACACAACCATATTTGCTCAACATTTCAATGGCCAGATCTCCTGCTGCAAACTGCATGCATATGGGCCACACTTCAGAACTGACTGATGTGGAATACTCCCCTCATGATGTCCCCACCTCCCTTGCTGTGTGCCAAATTTCTGGTGGTCACTTATTGTACAGCATCTTGTCTGAATCTGGCACTTTACAATTAATTTGATCTATATGCACTGAGCTTCCACCTACCAAAAGCCCACAGCCTCCATTATACAGCATTCTGAAGATAATTTGTGTTAGACTAAGGACATGCCACCAGGTGTGAAAATCCCACACTAGGCCAGGGCAAGAAGGGGTTAATAATCTGCCACGGAAACAGGATTGAGCTCAGCTCCCCTTTGCAATACCTGCCAGACACTGCAAGCCCAGAGGAAGAGCTGCAGTGAATAATGAAGGTCTCAGAGCATAAAGGGGACTGGCCTCAGCAGCGGGCTACTCTGCCAAAGGACTGACATTCCTTCCAGACTCCAAGGCTAGCCTGACGTCTGCAGCCAGCAGCTCAAACCAAGGGCTTCCCTGGGGAAGGGAAGGCTCCTTTTACAGGCTATTTGACCACTCAGAGTGGGGCAGACTGTCCAGCTCTCCCTGATATAAGGGGAAAGCTGAGGACAAACTTCTTATGGGTTTTTGTGGTTCTGACTCACTCTCCAAACTTGGCTAAGCTAGACACATTTGAAAAACGGTCGTCTGCACATGCTCAGTAAAAACTTCCAAGGTTTTAGCAGCAAAAAACTCAGAAGGTTCCATCCCCAGTTAGCATACTTAAGCCTCTCTCAGCTCCTAGTGCTGACCAGGCTGTATATGTGCACCCCTACAGAGCAATTGAGCATGCTTCATCCCCTCACAGCTCCTAGCTGAGACAGAACTGCACACATGCCATCCCTACAGAGTGACTGAGCATGCTCTAGCCCAGGGAAACAGGCACAAAGCTAGACTTCACCTGTAATGGCTGTTCCCAGCTACTTGGGACCAGGCACTGGAAATAAGACCAATGAGCCTGTCTCTACTGTGCTCTTGGCAGCATGGAGGAGAAAGCCATCTAAGTCTAATGTGAGAGGTCAAAAAACAGACCAGCAGAGAGGGAAAGGAGTAGATTGGAGAAAGACTTTTAAACTGGGACTGGAGAGAGAGAGAGAGAAAAAACACTCTGGAACACACTGGGCAAGGAGATTGGGAACATGAGCCAGTGAGGGAAATGGGGGTGAGAGGTGGGAAACCACTGAGGTCGGACAAGGAACTGGAGGGACAAGGAATCTGGAACTAGAACCAGTGGAGAGGGCAGGGAGGGAAGACAGATACAACAAGGAGCTGGGGTTCAGGGGCAGAACTGGGGCTGGCTGGGCAAAGAGACTGTGGCAAGCAGCCTTGGAGGAGGGAGACTAGGGCAAGGAGCCAGGAAAGGATTGGGGAAGGGAGACTGAAGTGGCTGATGAGTCCAGGGAAGGTGATGAGGACTGGAAGCCATTGTGGGGAGGGGGAAGAGAGAGATCAGACAAGGCACCAGGAGAATGAAAACTGGAACTGGTTGGGCAAGGAGACTGGGACTGGGGTGAGAAAAGCCTGGAGACTGGGTAGTCAAGGAGAATGGAACTTTGACAAGGAGACAGAGGCAGAGAAGAGACAGGTTGGAGAGGATGGAGCCGATGGGGTCAGGTTTGAGAGGATTGGGCAGAAGAGTCTGTGTTCACTAGGACACACTCCCCTCCAGCTTCTGGAATGGAACCCAAGATTCCTCCTAAGTCTGACCTTTCCTTTGCTGCCAGCAATCTCATCTGCAAACATCAATTCAACTACCTTCTCTGGGTGGACAATTCACAGATCTACCTCCCTACTCCAGGCCTGTCTTCTTCTGTTCAAACTAAAATCTCAGCC